CTTTCCGTCGGTTTTCACTTTCTTAAAGTCCTCCTCCAGCTGTGTTGCGTTCACATGATCCTCACGCAGCCAGGCAAGGCACCTTTGTCCAAACAGTTTGTAGGTTCCCTTGTCGAGGTTGCCTAGATGGGAACCAAGGAAGCAGCCTACAGAAAACCGACTAAAACAAAAACGTGAATTCTGGGGCGATTGTTCTTCCTCTGTCTTTTTGGCGACAGAAGTCGGCTGGGCCTACTGAATGGCATGCCGAAGCAGAACCGAAGACTCATGGACCTGCATCATGATTTGAAGTCGAAACCAACAGGTCGGCATTGGCTAAGTGAAGCTGCAGCACACTCCTTTACGGTGCGCTGGCTGTTGCTTGTGCACATTGAATGACAAGGCACCAGCTAAATCAGCGCGTGCCTGACTTGCCTGGTAGCGGCCAAACAAAGCCAAAAAGCAGTTGAACAGGGCTGGAAAGGAACTTGCTCGTTGATTCAAGGAAAATATGCATGTATCAGTGCGAGGCATGCGGGCAGTATTTGTTGACAGGTGAACTGATTGATTTCTACTTTCCCAGTCTGGGCAACATACACTTGCTCGTCTGACGTAAAAGCCGTCAAAGGGGCACGGTTCGGATATGGTCGCCGCGGGTCCTTTGTCAGAAGGTCCGGCGCCACACTCTTCACCTCGGCATGCGCGCTCTAAAGTGCCTGACCACGTACCCGTTAGATTGGTGAGGCTGTGAGCCCATGGAAACCCGAAACACAGCAAAAATTGCCACAGCGCAGTGGACACAATCGACCCTCACCCATTTTGCTTGAGTATCCGAGTCTGTTGGCTAAATCCTGAAATTGTTTAAGAGCAGGCGCAGTAAATAAATCAAGCCGCCTCTCACGAAGACCAGATTCGTGCCGACCCACGAGGAACCAGAAATGTACCCCTCCTACCTCCAATCCAACAAGAAACGGATTCTGATGTCTTCAAGCCACCTATCGTACATTACCTAAGCCGCAGCTTGCCTTCCAGAAGGAAGAACATCTAATTTGGTTCGTGGGGAGCGGGCCTGGCTCCGACATCCACCTGGTAGCGCAAACAAGAAACCGGGCAGGTCATGAGCGCCAATATTGCATGACCCACAAGTAGCCCTTGGCCATGTGGTCGGGTCTTCTCCGCCGCCAGTCGCCCCCAAAAGAATTGGGGACACAATGGGTCAATTGTCGCCATTGACTTGTCTTGCCAGATGCCTCTGAAAAATGACCAAAATGGCCCCGAAGTCCCTCTTGTATTTGCATGACAAATGAGAAGGAAAGCGTAAGCACTGTCAACTCTGGCAATGTGCCTCTCATGTCCCTTACACGTATGCGGGCCTCACGCCTGACGAGTGCGGCATAATTTGTGTTGGGGCCATCCGCCAGGTCTGTGTTGTGGGGGGGAGGGGGTCTGCCTAGTCTCCTTTGTTTGGCGGTGCTGACTTGGGGATGTTGACCTGAATAAGGCAGAAAACTCAGCCTTTAGGATGTGCACTGGGACCCCGAAAGCGATTGAATGTCGCATATTGTCGGTAGGGATCAAAGTCTGCGTACCCCCTCATTCTATAGCGTCACCCGTGCACCAAACGAAAGCCGCGTGCGCATCCGAGTCGTTGAACCTGTGGTTTTTGAGGCTGTGCGGCGTGGCGTTGCAAGTCAAGTTCGGAGAGGCAGTGGATGAGCAGTGGTGTCTTAGCCATGTCATCGAGTCAGTAGCATCTTGCAGTGAATTGGTGGTTTTTCACGAGAACCGCAAAGCGGCTTGCCCTCAAGCCAGGAGACTTGCGCAATGCAGGACTGCAGCTCATCTCGGTCTTGGGCTCCGAACTTCCTCGGTGGCGGTGGCTTCACAAACGCCGAAAGACAGTTGCCGCGCCTGGAGGTTTGTAGCCCCGTGAAAACCCTTCTTAGCTTCGTGAAGATCAAGATTTAACATTGAACTTGAAGGACACAAGCATACGATTTTTGCCAGGGCCCGCACCCTCTGTTCTGCGTTTTGCAGACCGTTGGCCTTTAGGCACACAGTCTGTATCACGTATACATGTTGGTGCAAGGCCCCTTGATCTACCATAGAGTTCATATTCGCCAAGCAAAGACCTCGCCGAGAAGGTTTGCGGTTTGCAGCGGCAGCAGTTCAATCATGCTTGGTTCCCAAAGATCAAGAGAGAACGGAACAACAATAAAACACCGAGTAGTTGATGTGCGCAGTTCTCGCAGCGCTTGTGCAGCAAATGCTGAGCAGCCGGCTGAATACGGTGCCGGTGTCTTTCCCATGGTGAGTCACAACCATCAGATCGACAAGCGCACGTGCAATTTTTTCGAGATCCCTGTGGAATCAGCCTTGGGGATCCAATCATTGATCGGGTCAGCGTGTCTCAGCGCAGCTACGACATTGTTCGCTCGCCTCGACAAGTCCAGGTACGAGCTGGCGCTTGTACTCCCGGAGTTTGGCGACGACAAGATGGCTCAGCAACATGCCGCCAGGAACAGCATGCGCTGCACTCAAAACAGATGGTCACTAGTATGAGTTTCATCAGGACATGGAGGCGTGCGTCAAGGCAGTTGCAGGACACACAAGACACGTCGACATAGTCCCATCATGCCGATGATCGCCATCAGACAGGTCCTGAGACTCCTCTATAACCAGGCTCTGACGTCCAGCACCGCCATCAGCCAACAGCACTCCCTTCAAGCACGAGAAGAAGATGTCCCTCATGATCCACGCCACCAGCGATTATAAGCTTTACCAAACCCCTATGGATGGATTGAAGCCTGGCAAGGAACTTCACTAGGGAGACTTTGCGAACCACTTCGATCAGCAATCCACCAACTTGCAGTCTCAGAGACTCGGAAAACACAACACTCAACGCACCGTCCGCGACAAGGAGACAAGGAACATCAGGTCCGTCAAGGCGAAGACCAACGTCTACGGTCAGTCCAACATCAGGGTCAAAAACCTTGGTGACAATGCAAGTCGGATTATCAGTCGATCATGGATGAGAACTACCCTGAGGTAATGGAGAAAGGGCCAACATTCCGACTATGGCTGAGTTCCGACAGCAGCCACATCATGCTACCAGATCAACAACTGGTCAGACCAACACAAGATCAAAGCCTACACCGAGATGCTGGGCCCACGTCAGCCAACAACAAAGGAAGTTCTGAGCACACCGCCACTTTAAGTCAGACACTGCAACTGATCAGAATTCTTACGGCAAGGCGTTCATCAACGCAGGCTTCAAGAGTATCGTTCTGAAGGCACCGATTGCAGTTTCGTGCGACGCAACAAATCAGCCAGAGTTGAACTTCTCACTCGTCATGCATTCGTGAAGAGCCAATGCCGGTTGCTGAAGACGAAAGGCTATCAGAAGACATTGCTTTTTGCAAGAACTGAGATTATCAGGTATGGACCCAGCGGGGGGACCATCGCCATCACCATTGCTCAGAAGAACGACTTTCAAGGCGACATCCCAAAGGCCAAGGAACAGTTGCAGTGTTCCATATCGATCCCAGCCACGCAGTGTTCTCCCGTTAGTCCTCGAGTGTCGGTGAAGAACCCAGCCGACCGGGTTTTGGACTTTGCTAGCGGACTTCTCCGACTCAGCAGCCAGCATCCGTGACAGCAGCCATCAGCCATGTCCTTCACACCAAGAAGGGAACATCCTATGATACAGGACCTTACTTGATTGCATGGGCGAGACCGAGCATCAGCAAAAATGCCGGACACAGGAAGAAAGCACCTGAGGAACACAAGAGAGCGTTCCAAGATGACCCAAGCACGACCATCAGCTATCAGGTTTCCTCTGCCGAACGTTCCAAGCACATCACGAAAGAGATGCTCATGAACGCAGGGAACGACGACTGGCATGCTCCTCTCATGGTGCATGTTAAGAGCAAGTGCAAGACAAAAAGAGTCAACAACCAGCGCAACAAGGGCTACGACAGTTCTGGACGGAAGGGCCACTTCAAAAATTGGCACGACGGGGATTCATCTGAGATTAGTTGCAGCAAGAACTACTACTACCAACAGCGTTGGCGCCGATGCCAAAGGTCGAAAGAGACTTGTGTCTGTTTGCGTTTCGCAGACCAATGACCTTTTGGCAATCCGTTTGAATCACCTATACGTGTTGGCTCAAGGCCCCTTGATCTACAAAGACATTGCAACGCTCGCTCTCAGCACTTTCCGTACGTTGTGTTGACCTGGGGGTTTCGCAACCCTAGGGCCATAAAGAATGCTCCAGCAGTGGGTATTAGGAATCAGGTGCCTCCAGCCCCGCCCCAGCTACCCCCCAAAAGGCAGAGGAACTACTAAGGCTTCTCAGAGCCAAGCTGGTCGGGTCCCAGACAAAGACGACTTTCGTTGCAAAAGAACAAGCCTCGCAGCAACTGCCCATGTGGATACCGGCATTCAAGAACAGAAGTGGCGCTTGCAACAAAATGCAACACGCTCACCAAATAGCTACCCCGGGTTCGGCCACAATTGGCTGATCGTTTTGCACCAGTGGCAAGAAACCAAGCAAGCACCGCAGGGCAAACCGATCATGTCCTGAGAAACCTGCACAGTGGCAAATTCAGGTGTGGTCTGCCTCATTCGAGCCATACCTTGTTGGCGTTCCAAAAGTGCTTGCGTGTGGGCCATGTAGCAAGTTATGGGAAACAGTGCGGGAAGTTGTGGGTGAGAAGCCATGCTTGGTACCCCAGAGGTGGTTGTGCGTTTTGGGGATTGAATCAAGAGGGAACTGCTAACCGTTAGCCCTAACCCCGAATCCGCAAATCCAAACCACCAATTAGAAGAGGGAAGATGACTTCACCGACGCATCTTCGCCGTGAAGTGCCGCAGACGCAGCGGTAACGCAGGCCTAGTTGCGCTCTGACCAACCAGAGTGCGTATCTTTCCTGGCTGGCAAGTGAAGCGCCGGCTGCCCCCAGAAAATGCGCTTGGCATCCGGATCTGCGTGACTTTTGAGATTACTCAAAAGTCTTGTTTGAGTACCCTTGCCCAGCGAAGACCAGCCACTTTCCCGTAGGCAGGCGCCCTGCAAAATGCTACAAAGGGTCGCGTTAAGTTCATCAACGCACGAAATCGCAGCACTGCGTCGTCACGCGCACACGCGCGAAGTCACGTCACAGCGCCGTGTGAAGTCGCATCATTCATCATGATTTTCATGGCAATTACGCTCGCCACGCGATTCCACAGCCTACACCGAGCTCTACAGCCGTTTGCGTCCCACGCCAAACTGGAAGTCATTTTATTTTCGGTCAAGTGGGTGATTTTTTTGTTGCCTGCGCTTCATGACAAAGCATTCTCTTGGTAACTTTGGCGCTCCTAAGAATTAGAGATTCAATGCAGCACTCAAATTAGGATTCGCAGTAAGCCTAGCCTTGGCAATACTTAATTCAGAAGTGGCACGACTAAATTAAGCACTGAGAATCTGACAGGAAAACTTGGCAATTCTATGTGAAAATTTGCTGTACTAAATTAAGCACTGGGAATCTGAAAGTAAGGTTTGGCAATATTTAACTTAGAATTGGCAATGCTCAATGAAGCACTGAGGATCTGTGAGTAAGTCTCTTAAGTACTAAACTTAGATTTGCAATGCTAGATTGACTACTGAGAATGTGAGGGTTGGCAATCCTAAAGTTTTCATTGGCAGTTCTAAAAAAGCTACTGTGAATTTGAGAGTGGGGCTTGGGAAAGGTAAGCCCTGAAGATTGTAGGCCCGGCCGAAAAACTAGCCTTTCTCATCCTTGGGCGGGGGGTGGGGGATCAAAAAACCTCGTCCAATCCGGGGGCCAAAAGCCTCGTCCTTTGGGGTGCGGCAAAAAACATCGCCCTCAATGGACACGGGGATAACAGCAAAGGCTAGCCCCTTCGGCCGGGCCTAAAATCTTCAGGACTTACATTTATTTCCCAAGCCTCACTCTCAGATTCACAGTGCTTAACTTGGTATTGCCAATTCTAAATTCAGTATTGCCGGGACTCGGCTTACTCTCAGATTCCCGGTGCGTAATTTATTACGAACCCTAAATCGAGTATTGCCAAAACCTTACTCTCAGATTTAGTACCAGTTTTAGTGTAGCCAAGACTTGCTCGGAGATTCCCAGCGCTTAATTTAGCATGGCCATTTCTATATGTCGTATTGCCAATTATAAATTGAGTATTGCCGAGCCTGACTATCAGATTCCCAACCCCGACAAAAATTGACATTAAAGTGAACCACGAAACAGTCTGATCAATCAGAACCAGTGCTTCCAATACTAAACTTAGCATTGGCAATACTGAATTGTAGGTGCACACTGCCGTTGCTAAACTTAGAATTGCCTCGCCAATGCCGAACCTTACGTTCACAATGCTAATATTCAGCGCTGCCATGGCATAAAGTTGGCGTTGCCAATACTCAATCTCTAGCTCCTAAGCGCCAAAGTTGAGCTAGACATCTCGTGATAGCATCCATTCCAGCAAGCGCGGGAAAGAACAAGGGACTTGTGACCGAGCCAAACCATCTCACAACAACAATCAACCCAGCAAGCACGTGAGGCAACATGTGAGCGCGAAACGCGCCGGAATCGGAGGGCGCGGAGTGGAAGGGAAGCATCCAGACCAGCAAGCGCGTGACAGCATCCAGCGCGTGAGCAAACAAGTCGAAAGTCGAATGGAAACAGGTGGGGTGACAAAGGCTTGTGACCGAGCCAAACCATCTCGCAACAACAATCAACCCAGCAAGCGCGTGAGGCAACTTGAGCGCGCGAAACGCACGGGAAGTTGAGAGCGCGGAGCGCCCGTGAAGGGGAGGGAGGGCGCGGAGCGTGCAGGGCTGGGAAAAAGCCGGAGCGCGCGGAGCGCGCACGATAGCGAAAGAAGGGTGTGGAGAACAACCAGCTGGGCGAGCCAGACCATCTCGTGACATCAAGACCAGCTGACCAGCATCCACCAGCCCAGCATGCGTGAGAAAACAAGTTAAAAGTCAGATGGAAACAAGCGGGGAGACAAAGACCATCCCGCGACAGGCATCAGCCCAGCCGGCGTGTGAGGCAACATGAGGAGCGCGCGGAGTTGGAGCGCGCGAAGCGCGCAGGACTGAGGAAAAAGCGTGCGGAGCGCGTAGGAGCCGCAGCGCGCAGGATAGCGAGAGAGAGCAAGGGGGAGGAGAGACAAGGGGACACAAAGGGGAGACAAAGGGAGACAAGGCGGCAGGAATTGTCCACGCGAACCCAGCCTGAAGCACATATGAGTGGAGACAAGGGGAAACCGGTCCAACTGAACCCAGCCTGGAGCAGACATGAAGGGAGACAAGGGAAGACAAAGGGAAACAAGGCAGCAGGAACCCGTCGAGACAAACCCGTCTATCTTAAAAGAACCAAGCGTTTGGGGCAGATATGAAGGGAGACAAGGAAAGACAAAGAGGAGACAAAGAGAGACCAGGCGGCAGGAATCGTCCAACCGAACCCAGCTTGAAGCACATATGAAGGGAAACAAGGGGAGACAAAGGAGACAAGGCGACAGGAACCCGCCCAACCGAGCCCAGCCTGGAGATAGGAAGGGAAACAAGGGGAGACAAAGGGAGACACAGTTTGAACAAGCTACGCCTCCACAGTCTACGTTCAGCCAACCCAGCGAACAATTTGATGACTTTCTGCGTGCTTCCCACTGGCCATGCCAGCTACGGGAATGCAATCACATTGGCCAGCGCTTCCACACCCGTACGCCGAGCTTTGCCGGCACTAGCTGTTGGCATCCTGCACCAGGGCAACGAGGTTTTCAGCCAACGCTGTGGTTCGGACAGGCTCGGACATCAGAGTTTTAATTACATTGGCTGCACGCTTCCACAGTGTACTGTTGGCCCAGTATTCGTAATTCCCCCTTTTTCAAGGCCAAACAAGTAAGATATTGAAAGTTTTTGGCTTTGAATATTCTGGAAGCTACCACTCAGGCTGATTAGGCAGACATGGTCCAGCAATTCCATCTGAAACATCTAGACGAGAAAGAGACAAAGCATTAGCAGCTCCAGCAGCATCGTGGAGAAGAATAATGCAGATGAGTCAATGGCACAAGCTGCAAGCATGCGCAGCAAGGAGGCATGAGAAGGCATGAGAAGGCATGTTAGTGTTTTGGGGGCCGGGCTGATGGACCAACTAAGTAGGAAGAGTTTATTGTTTGGGGGTGCGAAGGGCGCATGTGGGGTACCCTTTGAAACCTTCTAAACTTGCATTCCTTCACAAGGGCTTTAATGAGAAATCAACAATTTCAGAACCACTTGTTTTGTTGCTTGGGAAGGCACCAAGCATCCACCAAGCTTTAAGATGAGAGTGGGAGGTGCAGATGAGAGCTCTAAGCAAGGCAGCAGCATGAAGAGAAAGGCATCAGAAGAAAGCATGAGCCCATGCAGATGAGTCACAGGCTTCAAGCATGCGCAGCAAGGAGGCATGAAAAGGCATGTTAATGTTTTTTGGGTGGGGCTGATGGACCAACTAAGTAGGAAGAGTTTATCGTTTGGAGGTGCATAGGGCGAATGTGGGGGAACCCTTTGGAACCTTCTGTGATTCGGGCACGAGCCTGTGCCCAGGCAAAGGGTTAGTTGGGGTAAACGAGCCACAAAGAAAGGTTCCCCAAAATCAAACCAATCCCCGGTCCCAAAGATCAGGGTTTCCCACACACCAGAGAACAACAACCGAAAGGGAAAAACCAAAGCAAGAATGCAAATACCCGCAACCTTGATCGACGATGAACCGCACGAGCAATCCCCACCAATCTGCCAGTGCACTCGAAGATCCACCATGACCACCACGTACCTACCTGAGTAGTTCCGCAGCCTGTCCCTGACGTACCACGACGGAGGCCCTCATCCAACCTTCCGTCACCGATCAAGTGGTACTCGTCCGGCCTAGTGATCAATATCTCGATCATGGCCTTCCCATTTTGCCTCATTTTCTGGAGTTGGACCGCCTTCCTGAAGTCCTGAAACTTCATCACGACGTACCCCACTAAAGGAAGCTCATCCCAGTGCATCTCATACATGAGTGACCCAGCAGGAGCATCCGCATCGGTGCACCTACGTCGGACAGCCATCATCATCATCTTCATCAGGGTCATCAAATCCGAATGGTCCGGGTCCGAGCATCATAGGATGCCAGCATTGGGAACGTAAGGCTCCTCAGGATTCTTCCAGATACGCTTGACCTGGTGGGCGCTTGGCTTCCTGAAAACTCTCTGGATGTGCTCGAGATCAGCAACGAGGTAGTCGCCCTTCCATAGCCCCCCCGGCTCTAGGCGATAACCCAAGAACAGACCTGGTTTGCATGATGGAGCGAACTTCACATTGTTGATGATATCCAGCGTCACTGCGCGCCCCGATGGGCACGTGAGGGTAGGTTTGCAGCCTGAATTCCAAACGAACAAGAACTCCATGTCCATGCAGCGCTTACCAACCGAGATGATGGATGGTGTAGATTCAAGGACGTGTGCCTCAATCACCTCGTCCAGATCACCGACATCAGCATCTATGCGACCTGCAGTACGAGTTGCCCCGTTTGCAGTATGCAACACGTGTGTGTGCCCGCCCTTGGCGCCCTATCAGGTCCTTTCAGGTCAGCAAGACCAACAAGGTCCATCGGGCAGCCAGTGTCGACCAACCATCTTACCCTGCTGAACCCCAGAGGCGCAGCAACTTTCCGGGTGTACTTCGGCTTTCGCGCGACACGATGTCCTCGAACATCGCCAGGGTTGGTATCAATGTCACGCATCGTCATCCAACAGAACTTGGGCGTGGCTCTTATCAAGCTATCTTCTTACAAGACGGAATTTGATCGCATTAGGATGGCTGTATCCAGCCTCCCTACAGCTACAGCGACTAACGATCCTACCCGTGTTGTCACTTTCAATGGAAACAACAAACACA